GGATTCATTGTTATCAACGTTTCGAAACTTTATATTTAGAATTGCAAGACCAAAGCTTGAGAAATACTATTATTCATATTTGTCTTCTGAAGATAGATATGTATATGTTACGGCCAATGCCCGACATCGGCCAGTTCGCGAATTGGCTGACCAACGCTGCTGTAAACTTACCGGCCAATGTCCGATATTTTCTTGAATTCGGGCTTTGGCCGGCCAATTCACAAAATGTCTTGGGACGATCGGCCGAAGAAAGATGAAAGAAATCAAGAGCAGATTATTTTACACACTGTTAAAAATGAAATATTTAAAAATGAGTACTTCTGTGTACTGTTTAAGTACAATTGTTTCAGAAACGAGTTTAAATGTAAGTCCCACCTCTAAATTAAAAATAAGCTTGTAATACATTAAAATATGTTATATTAAAGCCGTAATATAGAAACTATTCAGTGAACGTATACGTTGTAACAACGTGATAGCGTGAAGAGCATTAGATTTGGGCCCTTCAAAATGACGAATTATATCTTGAGCAAATGCAAATGAATGAAAATGAATACAAAGGCAAAATAAGTACTGAATTTGTCAACTACCTCTGAGGGTGATCCTTAGTCTTTTTCTGCTTCACATACCTAACGTTTAAGATCCCAGATGACATTGTCTACCGAAATATCGCTTCAAAAAATCTGAATTTTTTTGCAAAGTCAAATAGCAGATATAAGGGCTAATTAAAACAAATATGAAGGAAAAATAGTTTTGTTGTTAATATTATTTATATAGACATTTATTTTTGTTGGTGCCATCTGTCGAATTTCACCTACGACATGTCCTTATTTATATTTTATACATATATGTCATTATATTTATTTTAATTTAATATTGTTTTTTCCCTTGTAAAAAGTTCGTATTTTATGAATCGATATTTTGGAAGAGAATGTAATCTGGAGAATTTAGCATCAGGTCTATGCGACAGAAAAAGAATGACGATCATCCTTAAGGTATCCGACTACATTCGGAACCGTGATTTTAAAAAAGCGCATAAATGGATCATTTTCATGATATTTAGTGTCACTTAGATTAGAATACATGTATAAAATTGTTTTAAGGACATTTTGAGAAAAAAAATTTATTTAA